ACAATGATACTAGTGACCTACAAATGAGGTGGTCGATCAGATGAGACAATTGAAGATCGATTCGAAGGTGGGTTGGTAAGGACAATATCTTCCAACATCCAACAGTATCCTTCTTGATAGACATGTACAGAGAGGGTGGACTTGGGTTTTGGTGAGGGTGTATAAAGGTGGGTAGACTTTCAGGAAATGTACATGGATTTTTTTGTGAGGTGGTATATTGAAGTTTAAGGGTGGGTGAGTACAATGCTGGTTGGGTGTGGTGTACGGGTAAAGTTAAATTGGGGGGGTATGATCATCTGATTGTGGAGGTAGACAGGTATTGGGGGGGTAGGTTCATTTGAATGAGAGGGTAGAAGTATATTGGGTGGGTGTGGTGTTTCAGCGCCTTGTGTAGTGGCAATCAGGTTTGCCTTAAGGAAAGTGATACTTAGAAGAATTTTGAACCCACTCGAGATCCTTCTCAAGATGATGTATCATCTTGGGTGGGGGTATCGAACCCCATTGGGTGATAGTACAGTCTGTATCACCCTATGTAATTAGGTATGTACATAAGTGCTCAGGTGATGCCAAATAGGTTAGCTGGTTTTTATTACACAAAAATCACTTGCACCAATCAGTTTTTAGGACTTTGAACATGATTGGATTGAGTTGATTTTTGGGTTGATGCAAACCAACCAGCTCATGGGGCCATGTTGATGATTTTCACTATGTAAAGTCCCAATGAGATGAATTAAATGAGAAACAATCTTGTGAAATTTCCAAATTTGGCTGGAGATTCTGACCCAAGGCTTGTTGAGTCTTGATGGTGATAACTATACACATCGGCCAGTTCTTGCTTGTCTGTTTTTGTGGTGGTTTAAAGTGAAGAGACCATTTTGGATAGACATGGTTGCAAACATTGGGTGGATGTTGGACAATGCAGGTCATTTTTGGTTGGTGTACAAATGCTGCAGTTTTTCATCATCAGACATAAGGTGTATGTACTGCGGGGGATGGGCGCACAGAGGTGTACAGTGCATCAAACTGCACAACATATGTACAAACTGTACATAAGTCATGTGATTTTCAGCTAATGGAAAATCAAAAATCCCCACAGAGAATCAGTTTTGTTTGTGGATTGGTGTTTCGTTAATCAAGCGGGATATGGCACAAAGGGTGTCACCAGTGTGTTTCCCAATGAGGCGTGTTAGAAGGACATGCTAATGATGTACCTCCACTCTCCCACAACCACAGGTTGCCACGAGTTAGGTTATTAGCAAAAAAGGTACTGGTTGGCAGCCAGCATGGGTCATCCACCATTTCTGACCAAGCTTACGCCCCCTTAATTAGTCACCTCACCTCCTTTTTGTGTGGCCTCATTGCCAGCTTTCCGCAAGAGAAAACTTGTCCCTGTTACGTTATCAGGTATAGTTGTGTCAAAATCCCGCCCATCCACATACCTCTAGATCTGGACTCTACTTTGCCACGACTTTAGTCAAAAACACATTTGTCTCTTTAACAAATACTAATAGTAGCAAATGAAGAAAACACTAAAATCATGGAACCCCCAAAGGAAAAAGCAGAAACCAAATGTC